TGATGGCAGAGGTACAAGAAAGAAAAAACTGCATTGAAGTCGGGCACAAATAGTCGTCTTGAATTTCAAGCTTACAGAGGCACTTATGACCGCTCCCCCCTTACAAGACCAGACCCAGCATGAAGCAATTAATCCAGATTATTTGAGGCCCATACCCTGCTATGGTCGTTTCACTGGCTCCATTTTTGAAGCACATAGTTTTACACTGAAATGAAAGGCAGGATCTGGCATCCTGATTTCCATATGAATGCTCCCCTGTATTTGCAATTGCACATTGTACTGTGGAACCTGCAGTTTAAATATCATGCTAATATTACTGTTGTGAATATTCTTGTGGTTGGGGTCCCCACAGTGCTGCCTAACACAGCAGCCCACAACAGTGTGCGCTATATGAAGACTTCAGGTTCGGAATTTGCTTTGGTAGGGAAGGTAAATTCCTTTAACAGAATGAAATATCTAAACTACATGGGAACAAAAGGTCAATTCAAAAACCTGAGTGTTTCGAAACCAAATCATACATGATTTTCTGAGAACTGCTAGTGTTAGCTAGAACTGTGTGCTTACAGCAGCATTTAGTTTGTACATTAATTAGTTTTACCTGCAAATGTAATGCAATTAAGATTCGTCTCTCTTACACATTTGACAGAGTTTCTCTTAATAAGCCATTATTTTCTAGCAGTATCCAGTAGTTACAGTTGGCTACAGAATGGCTCTGGCACTCCACAGTGACCCGCAGGGGAACAAAACATCATACGATGAATAATATTGTCACAGATACTACTTCAAATGAGTTAATATTGATGACGTTTCCCCCATTTAATGTAATGACAGCATGAGCAAGCAACATTTTTTTTTCAGTTAATTGATGTCAGGTAAAGATTCAAAAGGTAGCAGAACATAAAATGACATCAGAAAGAAGTACAGGGGGAGAGGGGGGCCTCCTGGATCCTATCTCATCTAATTGAAGGCACCTAGGTTATATAATTACACGCATTATTATATTACCTCACTTATTATTAGCATATTTATTAGATCCAGCAATGAGATATAACAGAAGTTCTATCATTGTTGTGAGTTTTGAGCCTAGCCAGGTGACACTGCCTGCCTTGGCCGGTCTGTCCAGACACCTCATTTACAGAAGCAACTAAAAATGGAGTGGTTTTCGTCTGGTACAAAAGACAGGACTTGGCTAGCCCGTTACACCATGTAGGGGTCTCATTTGGTTGCTTGAACACAGGCGCATGGTACCATGTGGCAGAGTCTGCTGCCTCTCTGGCAGGTGGTCCCTGTTCAGGTGCCCAAGGGCATCTCAGGCGGCATTTGCTTTCAGGCAAGCCTAAGTCCCACATTTTAGGATAGGATGAGTTACCTGCTGGAGGAATCTACTTATTTCCATTGTGCACATTGCAGTGAGCAGGTCATGCTAAACACTTAAGCATTTTATTTTTCGAGTTAGGTGAAATGAATCCTATACAAATAAACTCTAAAAGGTTTGGTTTATTGTCCTGGCTTAAACTGTGGTGATCAGGCACAGGGCTGCTCAGCAGGTATTCCCAGAAAGACATGATTTGCACACCTTGTTATTTCTTTTACTGTATCTTGATCCTCTTTCTCACCACTTTGCTTCCTCTGACCAAGTCTTCTCTCAAATAAAAAACCTGTCCCAAATTACCTCCCCAGGTTTGCTACAGATTTTGTAGTTCTGTTACCTAGTCATGCTTGGCCTCGTATGATACTGCTGATGCAGTCACCTAGGTGCTGATGTAGTCACCTAGGTGCTGATGTCCTTGCAAGACTGTAATCCCCAAAAGGTCCCAAATAATTTCCTCCAGTCATCCTTTGAACTTTGGTCACTGCTTCCTTAACCACCCGTGGGGTCCAGCCTTCCCTCTCACTGCTAGTGGTAACTTTTGTCTGCTTCTTACATTATTATCAGTGACGTCTGGAAATTTCTCATGTTGTCTTGGTCTTACGTCCAGTAATTTTCCACACCCTGTTCAGTTAAGTTAACCTCAGGATTATGCCAGTCCAGGCCTGGCCAGTAGTTTAGCCATTCGCTTGCAGCAAAGATACTGAGGATTATTTCTGAACTTGACCCTGAAGTTGTCTGGAAAAATATTTTCTTAGTTGTGTGATGAGAGGAATATAAAATGAAGATCAAATCCATTTGTTCAGTGTTGAGTAAGATGATATGGCACGGTGCTGACACCCATACGCCCATGTAAAGACCATCCTGAGATAAAACAGCTCAAAGTGAGCAAGAAGCCACTGATACTCGTAATCATTTACTGTTATCATCAAGTCTTCAGGGCCTGCAAGAATGGAGGGAAAGGCTTTAATATGGTCCTGCTATTTCCTTTGGAGAAATGCCAGCGATACAGTCAGTGTGACTGCTCCTGGGTTTGGATCGCTCCCAGATGTCAGATCCCAAAGGTTCAAGTTTACCCTGCTATTTCCTTTGGAGAAACGCCAGCGATACAGTGTGACTGCTCCTGGGTTTGGATCACTCCCAGATGTCAGATCCCAAAGGTTCAAGTTTATCTTTGACTTCTTCAGAAGATAGTTTGGTGGCCATATCATTAATATGTAGATGACACTTAGTTCTGTTTCCTTTTTGTCAGCCTCGGCAGGAGATATCTCTGTATTTTCCAGTGTCTGGCAGAGATAGGGAGCTGGGCAGAAGCCAAGAAACTGGGCTTGTTCCAGAGCTTCAAACTGCTTCGCGATGACTGGCCTGGAAACAAATTTTGAGGAACTTTTATTCAGGGATTCATTTGTTCGAGTGCTTCATTGCTCTCAGGGTCTTAATAGCCTCAAACTGTTCTGCACTTGCCCTCTGATGAGAAGAGCTGGGAATACCCTTTCCTGCAAACAAAGGAAAACCAAACCAAGCCCCTCTGCCAGGCCAAGAGCGTGGCTGCATCAGCTCGCCTCTGCCAGAGAAGAGGGAGCTGCATTCCATCTCCTTTCCTCCTTATGGCTCAATCTCAGCCACACGCTGCCTTGTGCAGGCTCTGGGGCTTGTGAGGCGCCTCTGTGAGCGAACACGACTCACCCAAACAGCAGAAACAAACCGTGCAGAAGTGTGGATAATTCTTTCCACCTTCCTGGGTTGCATTAGCTCTCCAAAGAGCTGGGAAAGGGGCTGGGGCAGGGAAGTGAAGAGGAGCAAGGAAGGAGAGTGAGACCTGATAAGCAAGCAAGGTGGTGTGCCTGCGACCAAGCTCGCGTTACAAAACTTGAGACTTGATAACCACTTGAAATTTCAGCTGCAGCCTTAATTCAGCTCACTCTCTTTTAGTCACTATGGCTTTCTCAGGGTAAATTACACCCACAGTTTGTTCCCAACAATGCGAGCAATTAAAAGCACTGTTTACTATCTACAGAGCCCTAAATAGTTGAAATCTAATTACTTCCAAAAGACTTTCCTTCTTTTGTCCTGTGGTGACCCCGGCATTAAATAGAATTGCTTTGGCCATCTTGCCTAGGAATGAACTTTGAGGAAGCTGGAAGCAAAATAATGTCTCTAGAAGGCATTTTCCTGAAGAATTCGTTCCTGCCAGAATATTTGCTAAGCCTGAACTTGCCCACATTTGGTACATGATGTAAAATAAATCTCCGTGCACATGTTCTCTTCTAATAACAGGCCCCAGAGTCCTTGGCATTCAGCCTACTGTTGTCTATCTTTGTCCTTTAACATCGTGTGCCGTTGCCTAAGCACGCACCCCGCAGCCTCCCACCCGGCCTCCAGAAATCCTTCACTCTGCCCACACCTCCTCCTACTGCCCGCACCAGGCAGTGGGGTGGGTCCAAACTCCCCAAGTGGGAAGCGCAAGGACATGACTTTCTCCTGCCAGTCCGGTCCCCAAATTTGGGACTGGCACACTTCCCCAGGCCAGGAGTAGCCTGGAAGACATTTCCTTGGGTTGGGGAAACAGCCACACACAGACATGAAGCCGTAGTCTTGGCCTATCTTGGAGATAGGCTCAGTAAACTACAACCATGCACCATTATCCCAGCAGTATTTGTGTATGCACTGCATTTCTACGTGGCCTGCGGTCAATGAGTTGCATGTGGAGAGCCCTCCCACATGAACCACACTCTGCCGTCATCTGCAGTGGTGCTGCTCGGCAGGGGCGCTGGCCTCTGCAGCACAGCTTTTGAAACATCTGTACGCTGAGCCTCTGGTTACGCTCGCCACATGAGGGGATTACAGATGCCCTCCTCTTTCTCCTTGAACTCTCCCCACGTAGGTCTGAGCTAACATTGTCGAACAGCCTGAGGTACCTCTGCATCTGCTGCTGTGTAGCAGTCTTTGAGCTTCACGTCAGGAGTGACGTAGGTGTATCTGGGCCTGGCATACGGAAGAGGAAAGGACCAGGAACTTCCTAAAGTTCCTTCCAGCTTTTGATTAGTGTTTTTTGTGTTTCAGAAGATGATCCACTTCAAATTGTACTGATGGGCTTGTAGAAAACGCAGCTGCTTCTTGCTGTTCCTTTGACTTTCTCTCACCTGTGAACTTCAGCTTCCTTTTGTCCTGCTGTATTCTTCCAATATGATCTCTGTGTAATTTATATTTGTGTAGTTATGCAAATAGATAGTTATATTTCCCTGCTGAAAATAGGTGAAACAGCTTTACATCCAGTGAAAAGAACACCTTTTTTTCTGCCCGACTCACATAATTTCCCATCATTTGCCTCGACTTTGAGAACCCAGATCTTCTCTTTTATTATTTTCAGAACTTATTTATTGCTTATTTAGGTATTTTTCTCACATTCATTATTTATCTCATTTTCATTCAGTCATAAACAGTATTAAGTTTTCACAGAAAAATATATTCATATTAATTTATTGATGTATGTTTTTATTTTAGAAACAACTATATCATTCATATGTCTTGGATTATTTAGTGGAAATGCTGTTTCATGCCCTGTAAATAATCTGCAACTAATCTCTCGGTGACTTCTGGTAAACCACAAAGTTCATTCATTTCTTTTTAGATCACATTGACAACTATTGGCTACGGAGACAAAACTCCTCTTACTTGGCTTGGAAGGTTGCTTTCTGCAGGATTTGCTCTACTTGGCATTTCTTTCTTTGCACTACCTGCTGTGAGTATGTTTATAACCTCTGTAAAAAGGTAATAGAAACTTCCATAGCTCCTACAAAAAGATGAAGGAAGCTCTCTAGATGAAGAACAACTGTTTAAGGCTATTTGCTCTGTGGCAAAACTGGTGAACTGCTATCCAAAATCCAAATGAAAGGTTTGGTGTTGCTGTCATTGCTTGGGTTTTGGGGAGTTTCTTTGGCAAGGACAAAACTGGGAAATAATCCTAAATTAGGTAGCATGCTATTGTGTAAGGTTGAAATTCCTTTCTTTTGTTATGAATTGTGGCTCATATATTACCACTTTTCCTTCAGATTTTTGAAAAAAATCAGCTGATATGTTTTTCTGAATTAGATTCTATTAAAAAAAAAAAGCGAACTATTTCTAATAGCTTGTCTTGAACGACCATGTTCAGGTTACCACCAGAGAGTAGTAGAAGGCATTAAATCAACCAAAAGTTAATGCCGTTGAATGTAAAAATGCAACTATCATTTTCTGTGAATGATTGTAAATAAACATGGCAGTTGCTTTTATCAGCGTTCAAGAGATTTTAATGGAAATGGGAATCATCTAACAACCGAAGGATAGTGTAGCTTCAGAAATAACTTTGCATTTTTGTGAGTTTCTTTTTTAAATTAACATTGAATAAGCATGAAATCAGAAGTGACATCTGTATATTGTTGTATTGCATCCTGTGCAACATATCCAGAAAATCAATATTTTAATACTCAGCTTCGTTATCTATAGATCACTATAAAATATGTGCATTATTATAACACATTTGTTTTCAACCACATAGACAAAAAAAGATTAAAAGTCAGCATTTGCCAAGAGCATTGAAACATCTTGTGTACTGCATTAATTTCTTATTCTAAGTTCAGAGAGTATTTTGGTATCTCTGGCAAATTATAATGCATTATAATTATAATTATAATACATTACCTGTTTGTGAATCTTTGACATTTAATGGCAGCTACTGTAATTAATTCTCTTTGTTACCTAGTCACCACTAACAAGAAAGTTAGTATTAGCAGGACTACAATGAACATGTAGAAGATTAATAACCTTACATATTAGAGATGCCAGAACTTTTATTCCTTATGTCGTATCTATATACAGATACTCATTTTCCTCACAAACACTTTTGTGTTGTATCTGTCTGTAAAACAAGATCTATGTGTGAATCTTGTGCATTTCTAGTGTTATTTTATTCTGACTAAGAATGCAGGGGAAATATTCTTCCTTATAATGCAGACATGGCCAGCAGAGATATTATACTCCTTGTAAGCCAAGGAGGGAAACATTCTCAGTCTTTGGGTCTGTTTAGCAGGAGTCAAATTTGTCTTACTTATTTGAAGGTAAAAAAGCCAAAAGGGGAGACATTTCGTTGTCAGCTTTTTTCATAGCCTATAGAATGAGTAATGGGAAA